ACTTGCCAGCTGCCTAAGAAAATTGATAATATAAGGTTGCAAATGACAGAATTAGTATGAAGATGTCATCAAGTCACTTCTTGAAGGAATCGTGACACGAAATTTGGTTTAATCAACCACAGTTTACTGTAGAGATTAATTTGATCTTAATTTGCACTCAAAAATGTTATGGATATTTGAATATTACTCACATAACATTCTTTATGAACATGTCATCTACTTTATTATTTGAAGGTAAAAAGGAAATAAACGTGAGAGGTGATCAATTCAAGCCTTGCTGTATGCTTCAACACTATGGTGCATATCTCAAGGCTTACATAAAATGAGCAGCAGCATACAGTAGCAGCATGTTATTGGCACTGCAAATTGGCTTTAAAAAAACAGCTGTGGGAAAATCCAAGTCATACTGTCAGTCATTCATCAGCAAACAGAAGCCCTGCTTAAAGAAACAGCAGCTCTGCTAATGTATGTTCAAGCTGACATACATATAGAATACTTAAAAATAGGCATTTTATTCTGCTTTCTGTAAAATCTAAACAGTAAATTATTATGTTCTAGATTTTATATAGAGATATAAAGATTATGTAAGTCATTTGGTGTGTAATCAGTGGTATGTACATGAATGATTACATTATTGTATTTTCTTTAGGAGCCCACTGACTGAAGTTCTAAAATCCTTTAATACCTCTAAGACTGAATAAAGAGCAAATAAAAAAAAATACGTCTGTCTGCTACAGATATTGAACACAAAAAACACCAATATGAACTCACTTAATAGTTTGTTAGACCATGCAGTACAGCCTATATAAGGTATGGCTACCAGCATCTGGAACTCTGTGGGAGGGAGGAGGGATTAGGCACCATTCATGCCAATGTCAATTAAGTCATACCTAACTGATGAAGGTGAAATCTGTCTTAAGTATCTTCCCAGAATACCCCATAAATGTTTGTTTGGATTCAGATCTGATGACTGAGTAGACAATGATGTGTAAAATGTCAGTATCATTCTTATCAAGCCATTGAGTGACCACACATGCTCTGTGTATGTGGACCTAGTCCTGGAAGGTGCCCCTCTGGCAGAAAAGAAACGCTGTATTACAGGGTGGAAATAATCACTCAGTACCATTAGAATAGAAGCATCCAAACCATGCCAGGATAATGAGCCCAATAACATTACAGAACCATCAGACGCCTTCACTGCTGGAACCAAGCACTAGAGCTCTTAAGGCTACACCTGCACTCATCTGTTAGTGAGAACATGGTGAAGGATAATCCATCTGACCAGATCACGTTTGTCTACTGCTCGGTAGTCCATTCGCTTCTGCGCCTATTTGCACCTCTGGACTCACAACTTGTATTGCCAGGTGTGATGAACGCGTTGAGGTTAGTGCCGATGATGGTGTCCTACTCTATAGAATTCCAGGAGGACTATTTTTTTATGAAACTGGCTGCTAGTAGCCCAAGCTAGAATTTGTAGTCAATTGCTTTGCAGCTGCTCACTTAGTTTCCCTTGCATTTCAAATTAACATCATGATCTGGAAGATTGCTTTCACCTAGTGTTGCACTTTGCTGGTAGTGATATAGCTTTAGAGACATCACCTTAGACACCATTGCTTTCCCACTGAAGGTCTTGTCAAAAGAAACCTCTACAATAACCCCTCTTTCAAAAGGTAAAAAGGTATTGTTACACATCCAGTAATTATGATCTGTTACAGTGCTGCTAGTTCCCTTTCTTGTTTCCTATTTACTTTTCAACCATTCTCAAATTACAGAAGGAAATGTTCTTATAGAACAGCCTGAGGTCTTTAATTCATGGTGCTTCATCAGCTATCACAGAAAATAAACTCAAGCTTTGAATCCAACACATACAAATATTAAATGATGCACTAAGACACTGCTTGTATCTGCAGAGAACATTCATAATATGAATTCAATACACAAAGAAACATCTTCTGATGAATGGCAAGAAAGTTTACAAACGCAGTCACTCTAGTCTTTTGTTATATTTTCTATTCATTCTGCTTCCCCCTGCTCTTGTGGATGAGAAAATCAGTGGCCACTGTCTCCTACCAAGGATTTGTCAATGGTGAGGTAGACTAAGCATCCGTAGATGGCTTTAAATAGCAGAGGTACCACAAAAACCAAGACCAGGCCCACATTTCACTCCTGCACGAATTGCAAAAAATCAAAACTCATTGAATGAGGGTTTCCCAGCTGTATTATAATTATGGATACCACACATTCTATGCATTTATGAACCATAATACTGTATTTTGGAGTAAATAACCAAGTATTATTAAAAACATTATTTGAAATATTACATGAATTTCTGAGAAGCATAGTGCAGCATTAAAGGTTCTGACCTTTTCTGCTATCATTAACACATTGACCTGTTATGAGCCTGGCTCTAGGGGACTCATTTGGACTCCTGTGTACTTATGTTTGCAGCCCTGCTCATTAAGCCTATCAATTAAAAGCATGTTGGAAAGGTCTGTATGGAGAAAGGCACAAATAACTTGTTATAACAGTACCAGTGCTAGTTTTCTTGGGTGTGAATGTGAATGCAAAAATGTAGAATCTGCTTTTTGATGGTTTTATGTACAAATTCAGAAATGTTTAATAGCAACCTGAAGAACACAAAAATCATAATACTTTTACACTATATTGAAACTATAATTCTAATGTAATTCTTTGAAACATTTTATGAGAATACTGTAGACATTCAACATTCATTTGTATAGATATGTTCTTGAAGTAAGATTGTTTTTAAATTGTGTGTACCCTACGATGTACTGGCATAGAGACCAGTGTTTATTCTACCTTGTGCCTGTTGCTTGCCAGGATAGGCTCCAGTTCCCCCACAGCACTGTATTGAATAAAGCAGTCAGAAAATGGATAGTTAGATAATCTGAAGTGATAGTGAGGTACTTGGTACACAATAACATAGAATTTTATTTTAAATGAATCTACACCAGATAATAGGTTTTATTAAGCTTAACCAGCTGTGATATCCTAAGCATATTTAGTTTTAATACACTCATAAATTAAAGAGCATACACAGTAAGAACTCCTCCCTACCATTCTAGTTCAAACTAGAGATTCACAAAGAGAGATCTTACACTAGCAAACCATTAAATGCTAAATAGCGAAAACAAATACAGAAAGGACTATAAAATGCTCAAGGAGTTTAAACCATAAATGAGGACCAAGGGTAAATCAACAAATGAAGTGCATTTTACTGGCAATAATAGCATTAGTGTGTAATACAATTGTTTTATGTGTGATATTGACTGGCAAGTGTGGTTAATTTTATTGACTACTCCATACCTTCTTACTGCTAGTGTATGAGCTATAAAGATGGCTGCTCAGGATGGCTCAGGCACAAACCAAACACCATCTTACAACGAATGCATCCATGACCCTGTTTAGTGGTGGCAGATGTGTGTGGGAGTGCAAATGAAAACTGAAGGTCTTACCCACTTGTGAAGCAGAATTACTGGATAATTCACAAATCTACTTCATTTATAGTATTATACATTCCAAGCATTTACCCAAGGATTGTAAAATTCTCAAAACATGTGTCACACTAATCCCACACTAAGGTTACAAATACAAAATGACAGAGGAGGGTTTCCAAAGAAATCAACATTGACCAAAAAGAGTTACTAAGATAAGAAAAGGTATCACCAACTTCAATTGCACAGAGATTACACATTTAATGTATTTTTTGTAAATAATGTAACATCATCACATTACTGATTTAAACTAACCAAATTAATTCAACATTATTAAGTACTAGGAGATTAATTAAAATGAGAGGGGACTATTCAATACTTATTTATCCAAGCATCAAGCATAACTAATTACACTGAAATAAAATTATCCCCAAATTGCTTGGTAATAACACAGTATGTGGTTTTATGGACACAAATATTGTATGAAGAGCTGGAAATTCAGCTTTGACTGTTGAATTTGAATGGATATATAGTATATGCGCTATGTAGGCAAAACAAGTTTTGTAACATACTAATGTACTGTATTCATTAAGTCTCCTCATCCATAGCATAAGATCTTCCAAATATTTAATTAACAAAAAAGTATTATTCAAAGAAATGGTTTTGTTTCAATATTTATAATGCAAAACCAGATTTCTCTAGAGTTGAAGAGAAAAATAACTCAACACATTTAAATTGTTAAATAAAACCCTAAATGTTTTCATTAAACTGCATTTTGTATGAAGGCATTTTGGATTTCTCCTGATAAGCAAAATTAAGAACAGGCCCATCAGGCTCTGTATAAGGTTTAGGACTGTATTTGAATCATTTGAAGACATCATGTTTTGGGTAATACTGTAGCTGTAAAACAATTATAAACTTAGATATTAAAAATAAAGCATAAATGTGAGCTCTCTAGTTTATCAAAATTATGTTTGCATAACTTAAAACCAAGCTGTGGTATTCAAGAAACTGTATATTTATTTTATTTATAGTCTGACTCAAAAAAGCATGATTGCACTTTACTACCTCAATGTGTAATGGGATTAAAATAAAGAGAAACTGAATTAAAATAAAGCAGGGGATTGGATAATTGTTTTTATAAAATACTGTTTGTGTTTTCATCCAGTTTTTTACAGATTTGAACAAATATCTGTTTAGCATTTTCTAATTTCTTGTCAATGTAATTTTTAACCAACCCTTCAAGATATGTTAAAAACGACGTATTTTATATGGCACTCAGACAATAGATGGTACTTTATGCAAAGCTGTGACTTCTATAGGCGTTTGTCCCTTCTATGTTAAAAGAGTAAGTAACAGTAGTTATGCTTGGGTTTTGATGATATTTAAATTTTGTTTTTTTCCTGCACCGCATATTTAAAAATTCTAGATTCAGACAAAGCAAAAGCGGTTGTAAATTATGAAAACTAGGAGAGTTTTTTTTTTGTAGTCTTCCAAACTGACATGCTGCTATTACATCACTGGCTAGCAGTGCTTTGATACCTCGGAGGGGCTCTTTTGTGCAGCTGCACTACCAAAGGCAGCATATCTACCGAGCAAATCGTCTGCGTCACACCTGCACCGGTGGCACAAAATTATATCCCTCACAAATCCGTTTAATTACTGAAACATCTTGAGCTACATTGGGAGTGTCACACCGTTATTTCTTAAGGTTGCATATATCGAAAGGTAAGATTTGTTAAAAGTAAAAAAATATATATATTCAATGAATATACTGCATGTCATATGCTGTAGTGTAGATCACAACAGGGATGCTTCGGCGGCGCGTGCTTTGGTTATGCTTCTGAGTTGCTCCTATGCATTAAAATGTTTCGGTTGTATACAGTAACACAGAAGAAAATATTTATCGATCCCTTATCGGCTTTTCACTGCATTCTATTTCAGTGGCATTAAATGTTAATTAATTTCGTATACGGCATATATAATCGATAGCTGTTCTAGGCGTAGCTGTTCATTCCTCTTAGATTACACAATGTTTAAATCCTTAAAGTTAATCTGGGACGAATAAAATATTTAAATAGTAACGGCATGACCAGTAATATGGATGTTGTGATAAATATTTACTGTATTTTGTTCATATTTCGTACATTTTGAAATATTTTCTTAGCTAACGTTTTCTTTCTAAAAGATTCATACAATCTTCAAGATTTACCTTGGAAAATGGTGAAATTAGGAAACAATTTTTGCGAAAAGAATAACACAAAGCAGCCCGTCTCAGAAGATGGATTTGACACCATTCCCCTTATCACACCACTAGATGTCAATCAGCTACAGTTCCCTCCTCCTGATAAGGTAAGGTTCATTTACGTAATTTTACTTTGTGAATTATTCTCCTTTTATATCCGCAAGTTATTTTTTAAGAATATGGCACATCATACTTTTGACGTTTTTTAGACATATTAAAAAATATTAATGTGAATTACCTGTCCTGCACTTGGAAGACCTAAGGATGCAGTGCAGTAGGACATTTGTAGAATTTCACTACTCATTAGTTTTTAAACAAAAAGGCCATATGTCTTTATTATTATCCATTGTTTTAGCTTTTTTGTTTCTAAACAGACATACACAAAAATATAATTTAAAATATGATTTACTATTAGCTGTGGACTTTTGATTACTTTGAATGTCAAAAAATAAATCACTAATAATGATCATCATTTTACATGATTGAAAATGAATCTTTTTTCATTTTAATATGTGGAAAAGGAAACTGATATGAAATTGAAGGAAGAAAACATGAAAACAGTGAAAAACATGCTTCATATACGTCATTGCAGTGCTTAAAGGGATTTTAGACAAATGCACAGATTTTATACCACCACTACTCAATATAAGCCAATTAATATTCACTTATTTTCTTCTAGTTATGAAATAATTAGTGACAGCACTGTTCAGTGTATGTGTACCTTAAGACCTTAAAGAAGATAAATCTTAAAATGTATAATTTACAAAAATTAAAGTCATTTGTGAAAATTCAATTTGTTTTGATTATTTCCATGGTACAATTTCAGTATTTACAGTGTATTTGGACACTGATATTACATTGCCCCTGTTTTGCATTTAGCACTTAGCTGTCAGAATAAAACGTTTGTAAAAACTAAATCCTGATGATATTGGTACGGTATTTTTAGATGACCGGACCTGTTACCATTACCATTCCCATCTTGAGATTTATGAGTCAGACAGATCTGCACCAAGAAATAAAAGTGCGATTGATGTCCTTCAAGACAGGAGTCATACATCTAGTATTTATTAGTGACATCTGGCAGGAAACAAAAGGTTGTTAAATCCTGTATGAATGCTGCTTGCATTTAAATAAATGAATAAACCAACAGGTGTGACTTTCACCGTCAGTGAATTCATACTGGTGTCATTTTAAAGATGCATAGTTTTTTATTGTATATGATTCAGAATTTCATTATGCCCAAAGTGCTTATACTGGTCGATTAATAATTTGTGCCAAATCTCTGCATTTCCGTGCAGAGGAGGGGTATTTCACTGATAATAAGGATTGTTTGTGTTTGAAGGGATATGACATGAGATTTAGTAACATCTTGTCTGTTGTACAAAAAGCAATATGCAGATGTTATGTCTGACTGGAAATGTTCTATTATGACGTGTTTTGATTACAGTCTTCTTAAAACCCTTGTCAACTAATATTTAGACACAAAAAACCAAAGTAGTTCTTTACAGAACATGATCCAAGTCGTGAAGGCCAGTGAAATGGAAAGTTTGGTCAGGGCATCACTTGGGCCTTTTTGTGTTTTGCTTTTAGGACTGAGGTCTGTCTGTATTTCTTTTCAGGTGGTTGTGAAAACAAAAACAGAATATGAAGGTGACCACAAGAAGGGCAGATTCCGTTCACCTAAAATAGCCGAATTTACAATAAGCATCATAGAGGGTGTCTCTGAACGACTCAAAGTAAGTCCAATTATGTCAAATCGAGACAAATTTATTGACTCATTTAACTGATTTCTTTTTTGTCGAGTGATGTTTTGGTAATATTCACGACATGAACATTAAGCACTTATTAAGCACTTTAATAATCAAATGTTATAATCATTATTCGAACACAACATTTACAACATTTGTGCTAATATGTCACTGTAGAATTTACAGTGTTATGATATCAGGTGTTTTAATTTTTTATACTACAAATCAGCTGAAAAACTCTCTATGTGTATAGGGGAATTGCCAAATGAAAGCGAGCAGATTTAGTCAAAAAAAAATATTGATTGATTTTACACAGCTGAGCATTTGAACCCATGCTGTTAGGTTGCTATGCTGTGTTGCTAGGTAACAAAATTAGACAAAGCTTGCTGTGAGAAACCACATCCCTAGGGATGCTGAGGTTAACATAAATACAAGGTGCCTTTATGGTATTGGTGCTGCATTATATAAGTGTTCCAGGAACTTGCGCTTAATGTACTGAGTTCACAATCAGAGACTCAGCTTATCATCACGCTCTTGAGTCTTTGGTAAGAAATGTGGTAATTTGTGTGATAAAATGAAAATTGTATCTTGAAATTTCAAAAAATATAAATTTCTGCGACAGCTGTTTCTATTCTGTAATGTCTGCCATGTCCTGAGGATTAATGGTGAATGGTAATGAAATGTATTCAAGCTATTCTAATCTTCAGCATCTGCTGTTTATGATAAAACCCTTTTGTTTGAACATCATGTATTTTATTATGCTGCAGTAAGCTTAGAACGTTGCTTAAGAAAACCAAAAATAATAAACAAGACAAATAAGTCATGAAGCTGTTTATACAAATGTGGTTTGATATTTACTGTTCCAAATATACATCTGACCTGTTGTAAAAAATGAAGTGGTTTATTTTTCACTGTTGCTAGTAAATGTCTAATATGCTCAAGGTACTCTACAACAAAACTGTTAAACATCCTTATTCTAAGCATTTTACTGTCAATTGAATTAGACACACCTACAGTCAGTACGATTTGCTTGACAGCTAGAAAATAAAGGTAACAGTGTGTACTTAAAGAACACATTGAAGCCCAGTTATAATAATATATATGAATTACCTAAATTAAGACTTCATAATTTAAGCACAGCAATCTGACTTGAATAATATATTTTAAAAGTTTGCAATGGCTAAATATATAAGGCCCCTTTTTAAGTCTTAAAAGCCTTTATATATAAAAAGTAATATTTTTATTGAAAAGGTTACTTGAAGGTGCAATAGAACTTACAGTATTTATTCACATTGCAGAACCTGTTTTTAACCTTGTGAACCCTCTAACCAAAGTATTTCGAAATGATAAGCACAATAGTGATCCTGTCTTGACTAAAAAAGTACAAAGATTTTTAAAATAATATTCACCATATAACTGTAGCTAATTTTATTAAATTAAAAATCCCTTTTTCATGCTGTACATAATGCCAATAGTACAGTTCAAAATACCCAGACTGCAATCTCTAGAAATATTCTAGGAAATGTTGATCAAATGAATATCATCTGTAGAGACAATTTAGAGACTATTGCAACCTTTCCTTGTTAATACAGTGAGTTTTGGCGAAATGCAATAAAAAGCTGTGTCCATCCATACGTGCTGTACTTATATTTTCCTATTTGATTCGCTTATTGGCTGTGTTTCTTGTGCAGATTAAATGTTAAAAACATATTTTATTTAATCAAGATGGTCTGCCAATAGGAATTTTCTAATAATAGCTTTAGGTTGGTAAAGATTTGATTTTGCATTGAGTCATGTAATACAGGCACTCTCCAAGTGAACTGTAATTCAGAGACTGATGATGTTGACTCATTTGTCATTGGTGACTTCAGGATGTAGCAAGAAGTAGTAGATACATATTAAATTAAATGGTTTATTGAGATGAAAGACATTACTGAAAGAGTTAACCAAGCTTCTGGTTGGTGATTCTTTATTGGCTATGTCAGTCGTTCTCAGAGATATTATTTGTCCTTGTGATTAATGTTCTTTTTGCCTGCAGTTAAACACAATTAAGAGTATGTGGTATGGCTGAGATTGTTACGGTTCTATCATCAAAAGGAACACTTTAGTCTTTCATAGCAGAATAAAACAGTAGAACAGATTTTATCTTTCACTGGCTCTTTGATACATTACCTTGTCCACAACCTCCTGCAACCAGAGGTGTTTTTCTGTGGGGAATTCTAAAATTGCTGTGAAGTTCTCTTTCATACATAGTAAAATATGAAAGAAAATATTTTTGGGAGGTAGGCATTAAGAGGATTTGGAAAATCATGCAAAGATTGAACTGGTAAAGAAATATTACAGCACATTTGTATTCCTGTCAAACAGAATGGGGGTGGGTGTATAGCTGAGGATTGTGCCAGCTACATTTTCTTAAGGGCATTAAATATTTTGAAGATAATTGTAGATTAAAATATTTGGTAAATACAACACCACTAAAGATTTGAGAAATCGAATCCAATTTCTGCAGTTTCTCAGTTTCGAGACAGAAACCAAATAAAAATCCTCATGTTAAAGAACTATGCTTATATTCCATTTTGGATTCTTGTAAGAAGATCAGAGTGGAACATCAGAAAGCCGATAGCTGAGTTAAGGCCTTTATAAGTCAATAACCAGTAACTGTGTACAACGGGAACAACCATCCACCACAAGTATGAAATTCAATAAAAAAACCATCCTGCCATAAAGGAACAATTTAGAATTTCCAATCAAGCCTTGACCAGTCCTGACGTACAGTAAGCGCATGTGTTTGAGAGGCAAGAAGAAAGTGGAGAGTCTAGTTAAAACTCACAAGATCACAAGAGAACCATGTAAATCCCACACAGGCAAGAACACCACACTACACCTGAGCACAGGACACTGAAGTTGTGAGAAGAGAGATCAAACCACTACACCACTGTGTCACTGACTTGAGTTCAGCACAAAGTTTACATTTCACCTCGCTAATTTAGGGATGACCTACAAAGAGAAGATGACATTGTTTTTCCTACATAATACTTTTTATTATTTTGAAATGCTTTAGGGTTCATGATTTAGTATTTCTGTTCCTTCAAAGGCTTTGAGAAAGATGTTCTTGTAGTTGAATTGCTTCAGCAGCTAATTGCTGTTTACTCTAACATCTCACTTATTGCTTATGCTGCTGCACTTGTCCTTTTAAAATCTCCTTCAGTGTTGCTGCAAGAAAATTTATTTCCCATTTAAACAATCTTAACCAGCCAACATAACCCTTTGAAGGGTTGAATGAGTGCAAATGTGATAAAAGCCACAAACAGTTTTAACAAAATACTGTACACATGAACTGTCTTTACATGACCAGTCACAGCTGATGTTTACATTTCTAATAGTGCAGCTAATAAACATTTTCTATCCCTCTACCATTTTTACTGCAGAATTCGGCCCAAACCTCATTTTGCTGACGACTCCTCCTCATCAGCAGTGGACAACAACCCGGTCACTGATGCCATTAACAATATCAATCCAAAACAGAGTTCTTGGACTCCCCCTTCCGGCCATTTTCCACCAGTTGATTACTTTATTTACCAGTGCTACATTCAAGTTCCCAAGTTTCTTTCTATACCAAGGAAACACAGATCTAAAAAGAAAACTCTCACACCTGAAGAAGGCTCCATGGCCGAAACGTTGTGTTTCCTTTCTTTTCTTTTCAGCATGGAATAAAATTGTTACCTGTTCCTTTGCAGCTTATGCATGCTGACGCAGCTACCTACTTGAACTATTTTCTATTTCTTATGCTTTATTTTACTAGTGTTAAAGTAGGACTGTCTTTACAGGTGACCCTTCTAGTCCTTTGTGCGCTGGCGTTTCTGGTCTGCGTTGTGTTCCTGGTGGTTTACAAAGTCTATCAGTATGACCAAACCTGCCCAGAGGGATTTTTCTTTCAGGTAAGGTCTCAAAAAGATTTGATCATTAATTTTAAGAAGAGTAGGGAGGCTGTGTTTGAAAATCTGGCTGTAAGTTCTAGGTGAAGATACTGTATAGCTCCCTTTTATAAGGTAAGGAGTACTTTTTATTCAAAAACTTAGAGAATAATTAATTAATTCTGTTTAGCAAATAAAAATACATTTAGTTTTTAATTATTTTATTGTGACTTTTCCAGTAAACCTCTTGGTTTGTTAAGGTAAGCAAACTGAAAATGTTCAGGTCACACATATTGAAGTCTTTTGAATTTTCTATGTACTTTAAAACACTTAAAGAACAGATGTTTTATTTGTGGTGGTCTAAACCTAGAGGTTGAGATTTTATTATCACATTTGTGGTACTAATGGCCATACTTTTTTGAAAATTAAATATGTATTGATGTATAGCAATGTATAGTAACCAAAAGTTGAGTTCCATCTCTCCAAGATGAGAGTTTATATTAAAATTACAATCTGAGATTAAGTTTTCAATTTGAGGTTTTATATCTTAAACTATGAGAGTGTAACACTCAGCACTCGTAGTCAGAAACAGGGCTTGGAATGTCTGTGACAGTAGAGTGCCATCACTGATCTGCTTGTGAGCTAACAGAGGAGGCATGCAGAGGTAGGACCGATGGACTCTTCCATGGAAATTCTTTTAGTTCATTTATTATTACAGAAAAATTAAGTTAGGGAATTATTGATTTTCATTAAAACTTGATAAGCATGTTTTATAGGTAGATAAATCCTTAGGCCTTGGTCCTGGTTTGAGTCTATAAACTGCAGACCTTTCTGTCTGACTTTGTGTAGCATGTTATCCCTGCTACCTTTGTACTCTATAGTTGTGGGATATTCTCCAGGTTGTTGCAACTCTTACCAAGAATAAGCAGCTTTCTAATGTAGGTATGGATATAAAAAATATTCAAGAGAAAGAAGTTTTAAAATTTCCATCGGAGGCAAGGAATATAGCTGAGAGACAAATGCAGCAATGAGTGACCTTTTGCAATGTGAAGAGATCTACACGTGTCCTCCCAAATTGAGTCCAAATAAGGACCAGCACCAGAAAGGGAAGATGTTACGCTGAGGGTAGTGGACCTCCTCTTTTGACTGGTTGAACGGGTGTAAGGCAGGTTTGCGGCTAAAGAACAATCTGCACCTTCACCCAAGTCTGGACCTAAGGCTTCATGCAAACTTGGTGTAGGAGATCGCAGACATGCTGTCTGTCCATATACATAGCAAGTCGGTTCTGGAGCAACAGAAGGAATTTCTGAAAGGCTGCTGAATGATTGCTTTGATCTACAGAGCATTGATATAGACTGCCAACAGCCTTTGCAAAGGGTGTGCATACATCTCCATTTCCAAACTCGGTGCCAGTCTATGTTGGAGGCATAAGTGTTTATAACTTATGGAAAATACTCTGGGAGTCAAATACCTAGGTAAAAACTGAGGGAATGATTGGTAGGATTCTTTTACCATTGGATACCTTATGAAAAACAGCATGACATCACCAGCCAGCAGTGCCTGTCACATACTGGGCCAAACACAAGGGTGCTGAAACATGACTGCAGTGTCCAAAGGTGAAGTGTGCCTAATGTAAGATAAGATCACTTTATTGGCCATATATCATTTCTTGTATTAGGAATTTGTCTTTTTGCATACCGCAACTTTCTCTCCATGAGACACACAGACAGGAAGAGAAGCTTGGGGTCAAAACGCAGGGTCAGCCATTTAAACGGCGCCCCTGGAGCATTAGGGGTTAAGGGCCTTGCTCAGAGGCCCAACGGAGTAGGATTCCTCTGCTGGCCGCAGGATACAAACCGGCAACTTTCCAGCCACAATCTTTGACACTTTCTGACAGTCAGTTCTAGTCAAATTGAAGTGGGAGAGGCATGTGACAGGGAGAAATTGTTGAGAGACAATAAGGCCCTCACTGTGAATGCTGTCCTGGTTGCCTGTGTGATTGAGTCAATAAGGGTTATCTGTGAAAAGACCAGTGTTGATAGTACCGGCTCTCTGGATGGTGCTTAAATAAGACAGTCTTTTGGATAATTCAGAAACGTTATGTCCTCTGCTTTCATTTCACTTGAAAAACATACTTGTAATAGTATAAGACAGACCAAAGGGTCTGAGAATTCATACGAAGAATTTGAAGCCTTTGCCTTGAAAGTCAAATGTGTTCCTGTGACATGCTCTGATGGGAATGTGATAATAAGCATCCTATAAGTTGGCTGTTTTGAATTAGTTAAAACAAATCAGAGAATTTGCTTTCCATGAACATTTTAAATACAATACTCTGAGGAACTAATTGAGGTAGCTAAGGTCAAGGATATAGTGTGTTCTATGTCCTTTTTGGACACCAGGTGGTGTTTTGAATAGAATACTGTACAAGCAGTCCTTTTGAAATTCGAATAGAAGTATGGGCTGAAAGTCTATAAATAGTGTGCTTGGTAAAAAGTGCCTCTTTCACAAACAGGGTGAGAACAGACACCTCCTATAAAAGGAGATGTTTTCAGATAATATTGCAAGATGTAACAGAGCTCAGCACACAAAAGTGTTACAGAATTGATGTCACCAACCTCTCAAATCCTGACAGTGTAGAGCTCAGTGGCAGAGCACCAGATCTTGTGGTAAAAACATAATTCTCTGGTACCTATAAAGTGATGCTGTGTGGCTCTGGGCCCACTGGTGACTGTAATCGAATCCTTGTAGGGGCAGAGTAGAGCTACAATAGTCACTGGAGTTGTGCAGAATTTTCCCATGAGAAGGATACAGTGGAGCAGTTTTCCACTGTCTAGGGAGTGGACCTGGCAACATGCTCATGACAACATGAGTCACCAGGATCAATTCCCTGCAGGGGGAGCTGAACTCATCATAAATGCATAAAAAACCAGCAGCCATATCACCCTGCAACTCACAACTGGCAACCCACTGAAGCTAAGCAGGTGTGAGCCTGGTCGGTACCTGGATGAGAGACCTCCTGGGAAAAACTAAGGTTGCTGCTGGAAGAGGTGTTAGTGGGGCCAGCAGGGGGCGCTCACCCTGCGACTCATGTGGGTCCTAATGCCCCAGTGTAGTGACTGGGGAGTCCCCATTACCTGTAAAGCGCTTTGAGTGGAGTGTCCAGAAAAAGTGCTATATAAGTATAAGCAATTATTATTATTATAAGACTCGGGTGCATGAAGTGCACATTTGGCAGAGGGCAATATGACAAGGCAGGTAGGATTTCTGCATCAGAAGGCTGTGAAAGAATTCCTGGAACATGATCTTCAAAAAGGTCTGTTGAGGAAAACATCTTCTGTTTTGAACTGCAGCCCCTCTTCATCAAACCCTGGCAGGAACAATAGCTTTGAAATATGGAGCAATGCTTTCAGTGATTTCTGTGTTGTTTGACTCTTAAGGGGCCTAACAGATGGAGCACCTTCCTCAGACATTTCGAACCAGCAAATAATCCCATCCATTGCTGGGTCATTGGCTCAACCTGGAGTAATAGAGGCATCTTAAAAAGGTCACTGTCTTACTATCGAGGATTCGGCCTGCATCATCTAAACCTTGTGACATCCACCTGTAATGGGTAAAAGGCAGCTGTAACGGAAGTAAGGCCTTTGTACATTTGAGAAAGGTGTCTGCCGAGAGCCATAGGTTGGTATGGTCGGGATACGAAGGAATAAGTGGAAGCTACCGAAGAAGTGTGATTTGGTACACTTGGAAGAGGCTTGTAGCATTCAGGTCTCAATGTACCTGAGTCCCAGGAACAACAGATTTCTCCCAACCTTTAATGGCACTGGTTGTTGAAAGAAGCAAGGTTTTTAGACAACCCTGTGAGAAAAGGGGATGGCACCCAGGTTTTATTTAAGTCTAGCTTTCCTTATGCAATAGTTTCATCGGAAGAGGGAATGCCACATCCGTGGTGGAGAGCAGAGGTGACATTTGAGGGAAGGCCTAATCTCTTATCGTCAGCCCACCTCAGGAAACAAATCCATCATCAGAAGACTCTAAGGAGAGCACATCTGGGTAATCAGCATCTGGTTCTGGAGGAACAACAGGGAACACATGTACCTGTCATAGTCTGCTGCTGTAGCAGAGCAGCAGAGACATCCATTAACCTTCAAGCAGATAGGCAAACTTCCTTTAGCGAAGAGCCTGGTGCCTTCTTCCAATGATGTCCTGTTTTGTTGAATTAACACAATCGAAGGTGTAACCAGTAAGATCTTGAGCACTTTTTTTTCCTGAGAGGGATGTTGCAAGTAATACAAAGTAATTTGGATTACACAGGGGATAACACCCTTCCTTTTCCCCTTTTTGTTTCGTAGGACACCGAATACCTAATCTGGTGCACAACAACATTTTTGGTTCTTTTTTAAGAAGACAATGAAATCTTAAAGTATGGTAGTATCCAGAGGGCTGTTGATAAGGAGAATGGAGATAGAAGATACGATATATATGGAGTTGCACAGGGGCACCAAGGTGTACAGAGAGCACTGAGGTCAATGGTATAACCACAGTGGGGGTACATGTATGATGGCGAAGGGGAGAGATGGTGTCAAAACAATCAGACCCATAAATTAAGCAAAGGAAGATGACAAAGACCAGGGAAGAAATGGGATGTGCTAAGCTGCTTACCAAAGTTACAGAAAAAAATGGAAATGGATCAAAAAAACGGAAAGGGCCGTTACAACCCTTGTAGGAGTAACAAAAATATGGTGGGGGGTAGTAGAAAACGAACTGTTATAAAAATACTTGAGCAAAATAAAAAAGAAATAGAAATGGAGTGTGAACTACATCTGAAAATGAGTAGCTCTTAAAAAGAATTCTGTAGTTATTCGTTTTGCTTTTGCTTCAGGGGCGCCAAGTCTGGTTCAGTCCAGAGAAGGTTGGAGAGCATACGCACTCAGCAATAGATGAGATGAGAGATCAAATAAGCTCAGTCATTAACCCACTGTGAGAAAACAGAGGAAAAACAGACCAGTTGACATGCCAGCAGCATATCCTACTGTATAGTAGTAGAAGTGGGCAGAAACAGGGCTTTGCACTCTCCACTTGCCTTGCTTTTAACTGCACACATTTAGAATGAAAATAAGCACAGAGAATCTGTGAGGTTTATGAAAGGTAAAAAGACTTTTAGTCCTCACCATTAGTTCATCTGAAATACAAATATTGTACAAATACAAATAATATTACAAATTAGATTTCTTCTCTGGGTTTACCTTTGATCATGTGACACCCCTTAAAACTGATTTGGGCTGACTTGCCATGCTATTAAGATTGTGTCTTGATTAAATTACTGATTATTTTTTGCAGTTTGATCACAGATAGGTCACAGCTGACAGGAACTAATTAGTCACCCCTTAACGTGTTTAACATGCATTTTATTCCTCTAATAACCTGGAATGTATTTGTTTGGGTTGTATTTGATCTTTATTAGTGACACATTTTACCCACAAGAAATTGGCTGACAAGCCCAATTTAATAATAAACGTGTTCTTTATGAAAATCCAAAATCCTACTTAATATGTTAAAGGTTTATACAAACTATCCCAAACCCATGTGACATTGGATGTTTTTCATCGGATGATGGTGACATTTGATTTTCTTTTCATTTAGTATGCAAAGATTAAAAGGATTCAATTATTAATTTTATTTTAACAGTAAATACAAGTCATAATTAAATTATGTTAAAGGTTAGTATAAAATACCTAATAAATCACTTATTCAAATATATCACACACACTTAATAATCTCAACACCATGCTGATAGCAGCATTGGAGCTGTATAGACAGTGTAATAACTTGATGTGTAGAGCCACATTAGTGAATTTAAACCAAAGATCAATGTAATATTAAACACTTTTTCACAAATTATTTGTTAAAACCATATCATATAATCTTTATGTAAATGTTAGTCATTTCATAATAGAACATTCTAGAATTCCCTTTGTTTGAGGTATTCTGAATAATGAAGATTATGCATGGAGCTGTTATGTAACCTCCTTTATGTGCTATAAAGATGTGATAATATAAGGGACCTAACAGGAGCATATAATTGAATTCGTGGAAATTTCCTAGCAGGTACTACTAGGTTATAGTCTGTGATGAGCCTGCAAGTGTTCAGTTGTTATTCATCCAATTGTAAGATAATGTACTTGGTTTTGCACATCATTATTGGGATAGGCTGTCTATAGAATGGACCAATTTAAATAGTTGATACTAGGAAAGAGTTCAATACCTAAAGTAAGTGCAGTGACAGTCTGAAGTAAAGAGCAGAAGAAAGATAGGAAAGCTAGATTGAAGCAATGCCCCGGTGATGAAGAGAGCAGCACTCTTCTCTAAGCTGTGTATTGCATTTGTTTCTTGCAGTTCTAGAACCTTTAATAGGACTTTTTAATTATACTTCATGTCTCACTAGCAGAAACCCCCTCTAGTACATGTGAACCTTTAAATGTCAATGTAATAGTCTAAGTAAATATAGGAGTACCTGTAGCTACAGAATAGACATTTTCTTTTATTAAAGTTACCTTAATATGATCTGGATAAAATGTTAAAGGAACAAGCAAGGAAGAAACATACTAAATGCTACTGTACGTTTCAGGTAGCCAATGAAATATAAAGTTTAATAACTATGGTAATTTATGGATGTGCACCCCTTATTCTTCACGAACCCCAATAATTACAAGCATTTCTACACTGTTTAATATGAATTAAGTTTTATAACTTGTAACCCTTGTATAAAAGCATAGGCCCTGTATACAACAAACAGCTGTAAAGCACATTGAGATGGGGAAATTCCTAGCCAGGTTTTAATAAACTTCTTTGTATACAACACCTTTGAGTATATTGCCAGTCTCCCACAAAACGTGTACAACATACATTAACTACTTAAAAAAGTGTAAAACAGTGCACAGTAAAATATTAAAAATACCTCACTGCTTTTATAGCCTCCTTCCAAATTGTTAGTAATTTGATAAATGTTTTGTCATTTTCTCTATATGGATCATCACATTTCCTCCATCTGCTCTCTACAGGGCATATTCATTTGGAAAAGTCATGTGGAGATGCCTGAATTACTGAGCATCAATCAAAAAACTAAACATGCAAACACAGCTGCCAAAACACATTCTATAGCTGTTCATCACTAGAGGGAGAATGGCTGATAAGATCATAGTAATCAAAGTGAATAATCTGTGGCTCTTCTACTGATCTGCTTTGAAAGGCAATGCTAAAATATGATCAGCTATTGATGTGCACATTGCTGGCATAGAACCAGAACATTAATCCATGGTTGTGTGTGATATTTAGTTTACGCTGCAGAGGTTTTAGCCCGAACTTTTTTCATCCACATGCGATTCGAACCCTATTCATTGAAGACAGAAGACAAACAGTTGGAGATCAACTCAGTGGTGTAAAGTTCCACTACAAAATCAATATTTCCACTTTAATTTGGTACTTCAGACTAATGTAACATTATTTGCCCAGCAGTGTGAACAGCGGCTATGGAGAAATTTATCGTGGTAGAAGTGGACTGAACAGAACTTCAAATTGTGATTATTGTTTTTGTCATAGCCAGACCTGATCTAGGCAGGTGTTCATTTCCATCATGGGTCGTGCTTAATATCTTGTCAACTTTACTAAAAGTTATTCTCTTCATCACAGTTTTTTTTTGTTGCATATTGAGTCTGCTATGAAACACAATGTGTTGTCACCTTACCAAAAACATTTAGAAAACTTGAAATAGAAACATTTGAATCCTTTTAGGTGTATTTTTACATTAAATAGGGTGGGGTAGCATTGTAGGTAAGTGTCTAGACTCATAACTGCTGGATTGTTGGTTCAAGTCTTTGTTGCAGGCACTGTAGATTCAGTAAGGTACCATACCCCACTGTTCAAAGTCCACCCAGCTGTATAAATGGGGCTAATCTTTGCAATCCTATCTGGGGGAGGGGATTTTGGTGCTCTCTTGTACTTGCACAGAACGTAGGAGCTGATGGCTCTTGGATATTGAAATTACATATATTTCTAGCTGTCCATTTTATGATTTGAATTAAATCAATGGTTTTACATAACAGTTTCCAGTTTTATTCTAATGTATACATGTATAAACTAATTTTCTACTTGGAGCAGTCATATTGTGCAGAATGTAAATGGAATAGTATAATGTAATTGTTGAAAGGAATCTTTACCTTACACATTTAAAACTTTAAAATAGATTGGATTAGGTTAATGAGAGGGGAAAAAAGCAGCTTTACAGCTTCTAACCTGATGACAGTCTTTTCAAATTAATGATAGACTGCAATGTGTTAACATTTTACATTTTAAAAATAGTACTCTGAGAACAAAAAGCTATCAATTTTATGTTGTCGATATACATTTGATTTATTTTCCTTAGCACAATCGCTGCGTCCCGGCTGGAATGGACAGTTATTACTCTGAACAAGGCCCCAGCGCCCGAGGAAAATTCTACACTGTTATTAACCACTACAACCTGGCCAAACAGACCATCACTCGCTCAGTATCACCCTGGATGACAGTGATGTCAGAAGAAAAGGTATCTGCACAGGAGACAGAGACAGCAGAGAAAGTGGCTTAAATAAAGTGAAAACTACTTAAATAAAGTCTCAAGATACTGAAGTTAACAGACACATTGTACAAAAAGGGAGCTCTACACCTTAAATATAACCATGGGTTACAAAGAGTTGTAAAGATTTTTGAAGTATGTATATCACTGTAAAACTGCATGCAGATTCATCATTATCTAGAGTCTCCTTTGCATACAGAACAAGGAATCTAAAAACTAAGTCCTTTTGTGAAGATGTAGTATGTTTTAACTCTAAAATGTCTTCAAATTCATTACGTCGTCCATGATCTCCAAAGTTAATAACAAAGTTCAACTTCATTTGTAAGGATGATTCTTTCCATGGTTGTAATTAATGTTGGGTTCCAGGTCACATAGCTGTACTGTATATAGAAGTATCTTAACACTATTGGAATGCTCCATGTGGGCAAGTATACTCTTTTCACATATTTTATGTTTTGCTCCTTCTCTTGTCTCACGATCCACTACTGCTGTTGATTTGTAAATGATAATGGGGTTCTGGGCCACAGGGCACTTTTTTAAAAATAAATTCTGCAAGACAGTTATATTGCTTCTCCACTGTGGCTTGTCACATCTTTGTTAGGATGTGCACTGGAATACTGATGGGTGTACAGTTAAGTCCTTTAAAAAACACAGCTAGACATTATTTGACAAGTTTCATTTCACAACAGTTTTGAAAGACAAAATAATGATTTCCCAGGTTTAATAAATCCAGCATCCTTGCTCAGTCACTGATTGAGTAAATGTCCTGTTTGTGAATATGCAGGCTGTGTATTACGCCATATTAAAATGAAATCACACATCAGCTTCTTAATGATTCCACATTTAAAATAAATATTTTATTACACACTGATGGACAGTTTACTGTATATGATATATAATGTCCTGATTAAAAGAAATTGCTTATTTTCTATCAATAAGAGAAGAACAGATATATACTGTAGGTTTTTGAGACCACATTTATAATTACATGTGGGGACTGAAATCTGATTTTAAATGTGACTTTTATAATATTTACAACAGTTTAGTAATTTTATCAATCAGGCATGTAAAATAGTAACAATTATATTGGAAACCTAAAATGATTAAGTCCATCTAAAATATTCATACCTAACTTTCATATGTACACTTGTACACAGTGTCTGACACAACACAATAAATAACTGAAAGAGGAATATTTAAGCTAAGGTGAGGTCAGAGATATAGTACAGTATGTAACATTCATTTATAGCATTAGCAATCAAAAGCAAAGTTTGTTTTTATTTTATTTAATTCCAGTGTAATAAGTGGCTGCTGTTTGGAACTAGTGAAATACTGTAGGTTTAACAAAGAAGCTATTTTGAACTAATGCAGTTTTCCGTGAATTTCTTTCTCCATTCTATGTAAAACTTGTAGTGGAAATGTCAAAAGTAACATGAGTTAAACAGTTATTGGAAGATAAAACATTCCATGAAATATAGTTCAATTAAGTCATTTGTTGCTGGCTTTCGTGTATTTAGTGATAAACATGTATAAAAGTGTTTTGTTGAATTTATTGCTGCAAGAATTGTATATTTCTTAACTAACAATCATCAAGTTATTATTGGTATATGTTTTTTTTAACATATCTTGATATTTTTCAGCGAATGTTAGAGGAGCGGCTTAGATATATAATGTTGTAAAGTGTCACAGTGCATGAAATGCAATAAAAACAGTGCCAAATGTTTTCCTTGCCTAATGTATAAGTAATATTTAGGCCTCCATATATGCACATGTTCTGTAGATAAAATCATTTTAAAGATAATTTAAATGAATGTAGAGGGGCATATCAAGTTGGTTGTAACTCTTGACATTTTCACTTTGTAAAGAGAAATAAATCAAAAACAATATAATAATAATTTTGTTGTTTTACTTTTTCTTGTTCAATTTAAGTGTGACCATAGATGAACATGGAGCAAATTTATAGAGAATCAAAACATAAATAACTCTTACATGGAAAAGGATTTGTAAAATATCCACTGAGAAAGCCTATAATGAGATGCTAGGGCCAGGCTAAACAAACTTTTGCAGCAATGATTATTTGATTTTAACATAAACCTTAAAAAAAGTTCTTTTTTGCAGAACAGAAAAATTTGCTGCCCATTTTCAGAAAATAAACGTAAAGTGTAGAAGTGAGGTCCTAGAGAAACTGAACATAAAGCAAACAAATTATTATTTTGCTTATTACAAAAAAGATGGAGATTCTTTGGGATAAGAAAAAATGGAACAAATTTTGCTCTGAAGCATAACATTGACCGTTAATCCCATCCAGTGGTGCTGTTCTCCATTTGGCTTTTCCTAGTCTACAGCTGAATGATGATTTTCAGAAAGTTGTTTCATTAGCTGTCATACCAGTCCAGGAAAAGCAAAGAAAATGAACACATTACAAGGAAGAAGAGGATCCAGACACGAAATCCAGCATTGTTTTTAATGGCCTGAAAAATCAAAACACAAAAACAGCTCTTAGTTTTCAGTTCAGCAATGTCACTTTTTCAGTAATGGCGTTTTATGCTCTGCAGACTAAATCCTCACTTTATATAAAAACATATACAGTAAACCCATTGAAAAAAGCTATGCAGTATTTATATCCGTAAATATGCTACAAATGTTATACAATTTTAATACATTGTGCCTTAATTTATTAGAGCTGTGGGCACAATGTTTAGTCTTTAATAAGCCGAATTGGATCTAATTAACATTATCTCATGCATTTCAGTGCTGAACAAATTGTAAATAGATATAGCTCACTTCTCAAGTCTTCAGAAATACTTTAGATTTAGCTAACACAATCTAATCCTGCTCTTAATTCACAGATGTGATGAACAGTAACACAGCATCGAATTGCCTCTTAAAGCTCTTATAATCACTCTGGACACTCATCTTTCAGTTTCTTTTAGGGTTTTAATATCCCTTTATTTTGGGGGCATTTCTCAAATGCAAATTTGTTTAGGAAACAAGTAGAGAGGTCTCTGCAATTATGTTAATACGTTGCCTCAAAGCTATGAGCCTTGTGACTACTCACAAGGAGGAATGAGTCTGGTTCACTAGAGGACTGATGGGAGAAATTCTAAAGGGATCCCACGTCCGGAAAAGTAGAAACTCTGTAGCAGGGTGTGCCGTTTGTCATTTAAGAGTAGAGTGAAAGTGATTCCTGAATTCCTTGGTATATGACTAAGCACCTATTGAGAAACGGTCAAAATTTGCCTCCAAAAGATTAAATTAAATAACATGGGATATAATAACGAGAAGGAAAATACGTTTTTGGGAGATTAAATTAAGACTCACGTATAGTGTTGTAAATACTAAAGATTGCTGTTAATCTTTTCAATTCTCATAAAGGGGATTTAATCTTAAATACAACGTGTATTATACAGTAGAGACACTATTAAAACAATCTGAATTGGAAAGCTGCCTTTAAACCTTGAACTTAATCTTTTATTTTAATTAAATGTCTTGAACAGTAATTGTTAAAGCACAGAAAGGAGACAACTGACAAGCCTTACCTCTCTAATGTCTTCATTCCCCTCCTTGACATTTTCTGTTGTGCCTACCACAAGCTGATGAATATTATCTATCTCCGTTTCCTGTTGGGCAACAATTAAAAACCTATCAGAAAAAAACACTGAACAGTCACAATTTACAGGGAGGCATGATCAGATTTCTAGAAAAGAGACAATGCCTCAGTGTGCTGTCACTCCTAAAGGCATTCTACATTTTAATAAATCAACAGGGGAAGATGATGCAAAATTGTATTTTTAATGCAAAAACGAAAACAAATATTCAATGAGAGAGATTATATCTTCTCACGCATTAGACACAGGGTTTAGGCCACTGGCCTTTAATTGAAAGCTGAATCATTCTCATTCCTACATACTTCCTCCTTTTCTAAAAATAGAGGGTGTTCAATTAATACATTTTTCAATATAACTTAAAGTTCTCTTTTTTTTAAAAGAAAGAAAATGACCAGGTTATACACACAGGCAGTAGGAACTGTCACTGCAATCTTTGCAGTGTACTGAACTTTAATTCATGTCAGATGCAACAAAAAAAAGTGCACTACCTGATGTAAAACTTTCTCTGCAAATATCTCCTGCAGTCTAGAAATTTCCACAACTTTGCCTTCAATTTGTCTACAAAAAAGGAAAAAAAAAGATGAGAAATTTGTACACTTAACAGGCAAAGTATTGAGGTCATGTAATGAATATTAGCTTGATTTATTGTACTGGAGATTTGAACTGACATAAATATAGCAGTATAAAAGAAGCATAGAGACAAAAAATCCATTACTAAAGAATGGGCACTGAATAACAGTTTTAGTGATCATGTCTACCACATATATATTCTCCTTTATCTCTTCAATAATTCTGATATAAAACAAGTTTAAAATCTTTTAAGAAAAGCTATAGAATTAAAACATTCCACTTGTCACCTAATGAAACAAATACATTTTATGTATCTTCACAAAACCTTTGTAAAGGTTCAGGATGTCAAACATTCTGACAATATTCAGTTCATGTGAGAGTACAAATGAGTTAATGGCAATGATTAATTCAAGAAGCCTTTTCCTTTCATTAATTAACTTGTGAACAAGTAGCCTAGCAACGGACAGCTATAAATAATATCCACAAGTGAATACACTAACTCTGGTGCCCTGCCGTTCTTGTTATTTGAAGGTATTACTTGAGGCTCATGGGTACATTGTGGTTGTAAGATGGATATTTAGCTACATCCTGATGTTCTTTAAACTGGACATAAACATAAAGTAAATATACAGTACTTGTATGTACTTCCATGTTCCTCTAATAACATTCCTGCTCATTTAGCTAGGAAATATTCAGCATTAGAAAAGAATGACAAGTGACCATATGTGTTTTGGATCTTTCAACATATTAAGTTTAAATTACACCTCATATAACATGATCCTGTTTGAAGAAAAATAATTACAAGTTTTTTATACTATGGTTTGTGACATTTGCTTTTGTGACTTCAAGTGTAAATAAACATTTTACTAAGTGTGACCATAAATAAACATGGAGCAAATTTATAGAGAATCAAAACATAACTCTTACATGGAAAAGGATTTGTGAAATATCCATTGAGAAAGCCTGTAATGAGATGCTAGGGCCAGGCTAAACAAACTTTTGCAGCAATGATTACATGATTTTAACATAAACCTTATCAAAGTTTTTTTGCAGAACAGAAAAATTTGCTGCCCATTTTCAGAAAACAAACTTAAAGCGTAGAAGTGAGGTCCTAGAGAAACTGAACATAAAGCAAACAAATTATTTTGCTAATTACAAAAAAGATGGAGATTCTTCGGGATAAGAAAAAATGGAACAAACTTTGCTCTGAAGCATAACATGAACGTTAATCCCATCCAGTGGTGCTGTTCTCCATTTGGCTTTTCCTAGTCTACAGCTGAATGATGATTTTCAGAAAGTCATTTCATTAGTTTTCATACCAGTCCAGGAAAAGCAAAGAAAATGAACACATTACAAGGAAGAAGAGGATCCAGACATGAAATCCAGCATTGTTTTTAATGGTCAGTGTATTCACTTGTGGATATTATTTATAGCTGCCGGTTGCTAGGCTTTTTTACTCAGTCAATTGGAACAGATAAAATAGGAATCTTGATAACTTAAAAGTAATAATATACTGTAAAATGTGATTGCCCTCTTGTTTATACAGATACAAAATACAGGATTTCCAACCAGAGTCATTACAAGAAAATGTTTTTAAAAAGCTGATGCATATTTACAATATACAATAGAAACACAGGACTACACTTTTCTGTTGTCCCTCTACAGTAATATACTGTAAGTGAAGTGCTTACTTTCTTTTTTGAGTATCTGCTTGGCTAAATACATTGCAAACCAAGAAATGTCTGATTTTGACACAAGAGTAACCCTTTCCTGTAACAAATCTGTCAGCCTTAACAACATCCATTATGGGTTTGTCTGCACACTCAGTTTCTTAACTATACCCACACACCTAATTTACTTTGTAGAATTTGTGTATACTTTTAAAGCTCTAAGGTGATAAAAGATGATTGTTTCTGGTTTTCATTGCTAAGAATACTCATGTTTCAATTTTTTATTTACAAACAATAATTTTGATAAGTGTTTGACGTATATGTCAATAGACTGCTCCTGTGTGCTGTGAAGAAAAGTAGATTATGCAATATTATCCTCCAAAACATAAGAAAGATATTTTTGCTCACACATATTTTTACAAAAGAGCAACTGCATAAATTTCTGGGCTCAAACAAATGTGCTACAATGGCGGGTTAAAGAAATGAATATTTTGAGTCCTGACAGACCCTGAGTGGACTTGATTCAAGTATTTAAAATCCTCAAAAGCCCTGACAAAGTTAATGCTACAGATAAAATCAACAGTGAACCCCAAACCTGAGAAGACAAGGGAAACCGATTTAAAAGGGGATTTAGAACCGAAAATGGGGACCATGCCTTTACGTAAAGAACTGTGGGAGTATGGAACAAGATGTGTATCAGTGTTGTTTAAGCTCCCTTCAAGAAACAGGTGGGTGAGACCAATGGATAAATTAGCTACTGAAAAAAAAACAAGCTAAATGGGATCAATGGCCTACACTATGTTCTCCTTTCCGATCCCTTTGAACATCTCTCATCATATCAAAAAACACCAGACCAGACATTCTAAGGTGTGCTCTTGCAGTAATATTGCATGCGTTTTAGTTTTTTTGGTTTTTCATTATTGGAATTACTAACATTACTAACAGTACTAACATTGTGTGAAAGTTATACTGTGAATACTATAATAATAATCTAACAAAAAGACATACCTGACTTCATCCACAAGACTGTTCATTTCACTCACAAGCCTTTGGTTCTCTTGCTCAAACTATCAATGCAGACATTAAAACAAACCATGTTAATTCTGGAGATGGAAGTGGTTAACTTCTTATTTAACTTCTTTGTAAATGATCCTTTCATTCTTAATGTCACTGTGCTGAATACATTACACTAAACTTTACATAACCCTTCATCTCTGAACATATCACATGGCTTTGAAAAGAAATCAAAATGAGAAAACTTTGATTGTGGTCTGAATCCCATGGACACACCTGAACAGTTTTTAATCTGCATTTTGGCCATCAAATCATTATTATTTCTGTAGCTAACCCAAAGTGATAGAAATCATAAAAGTCTTTTCATATTCTATAAAGACCAAAGGTATCATAGGCTGTTAAATTAAGCTGCTTGTATGTCCAGGCTGGTGAGCTGGACTTCTGATTGCTCATTCAGTACTGTGGCTACTGAAGCTCCAACATGACTGCATTTAACACCAGGGAACAAAGTCAAGAATGACTGTCTAAAGACCACAAGGTTACATTAAATGTTTTCACAAATATCCCCAGGCAATTTCACCAAAATTTGGTAGAAGGGTCCATTGGGAGTACTTTACAGGAAATAATATAAAACTGATCAAGTGTCATCTGCAAACTTATATATAAATTAGAGATTTAAAAGACGGTATAGTTGTTAATTAGATGCACATTTTTTCTTTAATGCGTTAGGGGTTAAATAGGCAAAGGAACAGGTAATTGATTCTTACAGTGTCTAAGAAATCAAGAACAGACAGCTTTGCACATTACACTTTAAACTGGTATACTAAGAAAAAAAATCTTTGGGGCTTTCTATTGAAGTAATGTAAAAAATGCAGTCAATGCAGTCTTATTTGAAGTGACAAGTTATTGCATTGTACTAATCTTCTGAATAAAAAAAAATCAGAATATAAATGAAATTTTCTACCTTTTCATTAGAATTACTTTTTCATTCATTCTTTTATCTTGAGCTTCAGGAGAACTGAAGCCAGTTTATTACATACTGCAGTGTCATAATTAATTTTGTTGTTCTTTCTTCTGACAAGCACACTTCGCACTGCTTATCAGCCTACGAATAATAAAGTTTAAACTAATATTCCACATCTGTAAATATATTTATTTAGAAAACATTTTAAACTGGGGGTTTAAAAGAGTGGATCTCCAGTCCAGGAAAGTCATGATCTTGCTTTCCATCTTAACTATTCACATTTGAATTTAACTACTTATTGGCTTAATTTGAACAGTTTTAGCAGATTTTTTCAGATTAATCTGATTTATAGACCTACTAAACCTGTAGGAATGTGACCCTCCAGCACTAGGACCCCTCTTCTTGGCTTTAAATAAATATATGGAATGAGACAATGATTATTCGAATACCATTTGCGATGTTTAAAAACTAAACGCTTTCAATCAGAAAAGGTATTTAAGTACTTATATCACTGAAGAAAAATGTTATTGAAAGAAAATATGTTGCCCTAGTACAAGAAACAAGCAAACAGCATACCATTTGAATTTCTTCAGGTGAAAGCTCATCTTCAACTTTGCCATCTTCCCAAAGGCCAACGCCACTCTCTTGAGCTTCTGCTACATTTGTATCTAATAAAACATAAGCAATTCCAGGCATTATTACACAATGGAACATATGCATGGAAGCAGCATTCCCTTGTCAAAGGTATACACAAGAATTGACAGGCAGCAGTAAACTTAAGAAAATGTACAATAGGTTACCAAAACTGAAAGCCACGAGGCGTACAGCCTTGCTGCTGACCTGGCGCTTCACTCATCTCTTTTATGAGCTTGTACGTTATAAGTTTTTTTTTTGCTGCGTTTTAAATTGTTTTATTCAAGTGGTAACACAATCGCAGGAAGATTTATTGCTTTGATTTGCCTCTTTTTAATACTGTGCCAGCTTGTCTTGGGCTTTATTTACTAACAACATATACAATGAAACTCTCACCTGCACTTTTGAGGACCTACAGTACTTTAATTTTGCTCTGAACCTTGCAAGAAGAGCGTTATAAGTGGAGAGGGTACCACAAAAGCAAACTTAAGAAAAGAGGGTAAAGAGGCAGAATTTAACAGTTCAGAATACAAATGTTGGGCTGCAGACATCCAGTGTTGACTTCCAGTGTTGACTCTAGTGAATGTGTGCTCTTTAAACAACAAGGTAGATGAGCTCTCTGCTGGGCTTGAGTTTGATGGTGCTTAAACCTGAATCTGAACTATGGAAATCTCTTACCCAATGTATGAGTCCACTTGGGGGTGAATGGTGGACGCATACATTGGGTGAGAGATTTCCTTAGTAACTGACCATAAAGAATCCCTATGAACGGATGGTATACTCTCTGAGGATATGGTTTTGGTGAATGACACTCCCCAGGGGTGTGCTTTATCACCAGTTTTTGTTCCACATCTACTCATCTACATGAAATGCAGATCAATGATGGTGTTTTCACCTTGCTTAAATACACTGACAACGTGGCCTTGGTTGGTGTTCTGCAGGGAAGTGAAAGTCGAGAACAAACACTTTACTTTGACAAAGTATTAAATCTTTTTAATTGCTGCCATTCAAGCAATGTGGAAACAAACATTAAGAAAACAAAAGAATTAGTGCTACACTCAGGCTAATTTGAGCCAGCAACATCCCAGCCTATAAATATAAACAGTCAGGTTATTGAGATTGTTCCTTGTTATAAATATCTGGGTACATACAGTACATTGATAACAAGCTCAATTTCTCAGACAACACAGAGTGTGGTTTAAAAAAAAGCATGCTGAGGTTATTTCTCCTGAGAAGGCTGAAGGTTTTTGATGTAAGCAAACACATTCTAGAGTTGGGCTATACAACTCCTTTTTAACATCTCCACTTGTTATGGGAATCTTGATGTCAGGGGCAGAGCCAAGCTCTCAAGGATTATAAACAAGGGCAAATTATTGATCAGTAACAGAACTAGCTGAATTGCATGTATAAGAAGAATTCGTACAAGAAAACAATGTTAGAAGTAAATGATGCCTCATATACACTACACTCCCAATTTGAAAAACTACCATCTGGCCGATATTTCAGAGAACGAAAGGTTACAAAAACATTGTTAAGAAGTCATTCACCAAGTGTCATTACACTTGAATCTTATATTTTTTGTACTGTAGTGTACAACTGACAACTGTTATTTATATTGTATTAATCACACACATCTTACAAAATCCACTGGATGTTTAACGTACTCTGTATTACACTGTTGATTATTGTTGTCTCAGTGAGGCCAAAGAAGAATTTCCGCTATAGAGCATGTGGGCAGTAAAGTATATAAAAGAAAAACGTTAGCTTGTTCATCATTCACTTTTTGCTTATGAAATAGTCACACAAAACACAGTGTCTTCAATTCTAATTTTAATTAATACTTATTAACATATGATGAAGAGATAAATGATAAAGAGATTAGAGGGGAGCATGACAAAGTAACACGGAGAGGTTAATTTCCTGTTTAAAAGAAAAAAGAAGAAAAAACTTTGCGAGAGCTCACTTCAACTGTTTTCCCCTCCATTATCTCCCATGAATATTATCATTAAAATAAAAAAGCAAACATACAGCAAAAATGTGTGTTTGTCAGTTTGCATGCAGAATGGTGGTGTGTACAGATGTCACAGCAAGGATGCTATGAATTTGTGCTTGTGAAAGAGAAAGAAGGAACCAGTGAGACATTTAACTTGAGAAGTGTCTAGTGCAGGGTCCATCAATTCACAATCTGCCAATAATGCTGCAAATGTAAGAGATGCTCTACAGAACAAATGAAGGAACATCTATGTGGTCTGTGTACAACATGTCTGGCTGCCTATCCCATACTGTTTACATTGTCGGATACTAATCATTTACATATGGGTACCTGACCTGAATAATCACAAATGAGTTTCAGCTTACAAAACACATTTTCAATGTTGAATCGGGGATTGCTTTCCAACATGTTTCAGTAAATAGGAAAATATACTGTACCGTGTTTCAGAGAGGTTAGCAATCTTTTGACTTCTCAGATTGGTTACCTTAGAAGGGTTTGAAAAATGGATATTGTTTGGCTGTATTTACATAGCTGTCTTTGTCCTTGGGCCAGGAAGAAAGTAAACATGGGGAATGGACACTGATGATCACAGAGTATTCCCAATGATTTACACACATTAATAAACATCACTGTAAATCAAGAAAACCACCATATTAAAGAAAAACATTCAATAGTGATGGGCCATTATTCAAACCTCAATAAAAATGGAAAATGGCAGAAAAACAGGAAATTCTTATCTTCTTTGTTGGGGAATCCTGAGGCTAAATGTGTTCCTTTTATTTTAGTGATGCATTGGTATGATATAGAAATTGGTTCCTATTTACTTGTGGACATTTGTGTTTCGGAGACGGAGATGTAGTCCTTGATAGGATCCATTTATATTAGGACGCAGGTTTTCTTTTGATGGCCTTTAAAGGTGTTTGGTGGTGTATTTAGATTACAGAGGCAGAACTGTAGAATTTTCTGGGTTTAAAGTGTATGCAGTACATTCTGCATAGCTGTGCAAAAAAAGTTTGAGTCGAATTTGTTGAGTTTGAGCTTGTAACTCTATCAGAGCTGTGCCGCAGAATTAAAGAACATGCTCTATTTTATAACAGTACTGTATATAAATGTAATGGACAAAAATGTGAAACCAATGTAAAGTTACTTAATAGAGCATTGGGCCACCACAAGCGGCCAGTACAACCTGTAAGCGTTTAGAGTCTGCAAGCATCTGGAATTCTGCTGGAGGGATGTTGTGCCATTATTCCAAGAGAAAGTCAATCAGCTCACATCTGGTTGATGGAAGTGGAAATGCTATCTCAAGTATCGTGCCACAACATCGTATAAATGCTTCATTGGGTTTAGAGCCATTGACGGATAACATCACTGTCATGCTTATCAAACTACTGGGCAGGCTGCACATGCTCTGTACACGGGGGCATTGCCATTCTGGAAGACACCTCTGGAAAGAAATAGTGGAACATGGGGTGAAGATGATCACTCATAATTAATAAGCATACTACTTATTATTAAGTAGATTAGCACTGATCTTGCCCTCATCCATTTTTTAAGTATACGGTGAAGGATATTTCTGACCATATCACAACCCAGCTAAAACACCAAGCTTTGTGGAGTTCTCTGCAGACCATTCTTGATTAAACTGTCTGCTTGTGCCCCAGGTTGATATATGCAATGAACTGATATGCACTTGCTCACCCGTTTTGGTTGGATTTTGAATTAATGTATGGATATCACAATACCTGTACTTGAATGTATTTCTGGTCACTTTTGCCCTTTTTGGATCCCTTTGAGTTCCATGCTAACATCACCTTTGACACTGCAGCTTGTGAAACATCAGCAGGTTGAGCTGTCTTGGTCAAAACTCCAAACTCAGCCAGCCACCTTTCTTTAAAGCCACTGTAGTCATAAGCATAAGGAATCTTTCCAGCATTTTTATAAAGCACCATAAGCATGCTGGGATGTTATGTGCTTAATTAACATATGAGCCACATCTCTGGTCTTGCTTTCAATAAAATTAGTGTTCCTCCTTTCCTCACCAAGGTCCAGTACTGGCATATAAACTTATATGTTGGTGTGCTTTCAGATATATAAACATATGTACTACAATCAGTATTGCAAATAGCTGTGACGATAATGCTTTATAGCAATTTCTAATAACAATGCATAATTAACGTGTAAATGCACAAATATTTAAATTATTTCTTCCTAAATTAAGGGGATAAAGAAACACAAACTATTACAAGAAATAGCTTACCTGTGGTGTTATCTTTTAAAGTCTTCTCATCTGAGGGATCTGGTTGGGCACTTTTCTCAGTGGCAGAAGAGAGAAGCTTGCTGTGTCGCTCAGGCTCGAGTCTCAAACTGCAAAAAAAATCTGCAGTTGAATATTGAATATTCCCCAAAGCACAGTCAAGTCCCTTATAAGGATATGGAGGAAATATGGCATCTGTGAATCTGTGTAGAACAGGGTATCCTCAAAACTGAGGACCTGGGCAAGAAGAGCACAAAGTAGGGAGGCCACCAAGAGGCTTTTGACGCATCTAAAGCAATTACAGTCTTCCACTGCTGAGATCGGAGAAACTGCATATGCCAGACTGATTCTCAAATCTGGGTGTCACAGGAGAGTGGCAAAACGAAAACCATTACTGAAAAAAATACACATCAAATCTTGACTGCTGTTTGTCAGAAGGCATGTACGAGACTATGGTCTGATGAGACATCAATTGACCTTTTTGGCCTCAATAGTCAGCTCTAAGTTTGTGGTATGCCTGAAAACTCCACTCCTGGGACTCTCTATACAGTGATTCTCTCTACAGGAAATCAGTTTCCTAAAAACAATGGCAAATCTGCCTTTACAGAGGACCTGGATAAGGAGCTCTCGCCTGGCTCGTGCTTTATTTTCTGTGTCCTCCTTTTCCATCTCTGTCTTTCTGTCTCTTCCCTTGTCCTCTTTCTTTTTTTCTGCTCTCCCTGTACCTGTCTGTTTCATTCTGTGTTCCTGGAGTGTTGATTGATAATCATATATCCAGAACTCAGCCAAGGTAAACCAGATGATTTCTTTGATCAATTCATCTCACACCCAGCACAACCAAGTAAACACTATAGTTCTTTTCTCGCTTTGAAGTTTAAAAAACTATTATCTATTCATCCCTAGCCAGGTGCTTAACATTATATCTTGATTCTTAAAGACATTTCAATAGTCACTTACAGTAGCCTTAAAATTATATACAATTTAGATTTTCTTCTCAAATCATAAATTATGCCTGGAGGTACGCAAACATACTTCAAAACTCTGGTACATGAAAGGATGGTACAGTGGGGGCATAGAAAGTCACCACCCCCTTTCAAAATGTGTACCTTTTTTTGCATGACCCTCTGAATAAAAAAACAAATTAAATTAGGCTTGTTCCATTTTTATTTACACACAGTAACCCACATTAGCCAAGTCAAAATAAAATTCAAAAACATTCTGAAAATTAATATTACAACAGTAAAATACTTATTTGGATAAGTGAACACCCCCCTTACAACTGCATTTGCAAACTTGCTCAGGTATAACCAATCACCTTAGCGATCATACAACAAACTAATTGGCTCCCACCTCTGATCAACTGTGGTGATTTTGATTAGTTCAAAATAAAAGCAGCTGTTTCTAAGGATTGCACTGCTTGGACGTACATTTCAAAGCAAAGAATCAACTATGGGCGGAAAGGTGCTTTCAAAAGAACTTCGAGACAATGTTGTGGAAAGGCATAAGACAGGAGATGGGTATAAAAAGATTTCAAAGGCTTTATATATCTCGCGGAGCACATTCAAGACCATCATTAAGAAGTGGAAGGGGTATGGTACCACCCAGACTTCGCCTAGATCAGGCCGCCCCTCCAAACTGGATGACTGAGCAAGAAAGAGACTGATCAGAGGGCTATCAAGAGGCTGATGGCAACTTTGAACGAGCTACAGGCCTTTATGGCAAAGACTGGTCATTGTGTGAATGTGACAACAATATCACAAGAGCTCCACAAATCTGGCCTGTATGGGAGGGCGGCAAGAAAAAAGACACTTCTTAAAAAAAGCCACAAGTCTCGTTTATGTTTTGCTGAAAATCATCTTAAATTATTCTGTGGCCAAGTGGCAAAAGGTGCTGTGGTCAGATGAGACCAAAATCAAACATTTTGGCTGGAGTGCAAAACGGTATGTCTGGTGAAAACCCAATACATCTTACCATCCAAAGAACATCATTCCTACAGTAAAGAATGGTAGTGGCAGCATCCTGTTGTGGGGGTGTTTCTCTTCAGATGGGACTGGGGCACTTGTCAGAATAGAAGGGAAGCTGGATGGTGCAATATACAGGCTAATTGAAGAAAACCTGCAGTCGTCAGCCGGGAAGTTGAAAATGGGAAGACAGTTCACCTTTCAACATGACAATGTCCCAAAGCACACCACCAAAACAACCTTGCAGTGGCTGAAGGACAGGAAGGTGAATGGCCTAGTCAGAGCCCCGACCTATAATCCCATCGAAAATCTTTGGAATAACTTGAAGAGGGCAGTCTATCAACGGTCACCTCGCAGTCTGACTGAGCTTGAATAATTCTGTAAGGAGGAATGGGCACCCCCTAGGTGCACAGACTCAAGCAAAAGGTGCTTCCACCAAATATTAACCCGGGGGTGCTCTCTTATCTAACACAGTTATTCTACTTTTCTTCAGAAATTTAGCTTTATCTTTCTTCACTTGTATGTTGCAAGGTACAATTTATAAATACATTCGTAAATAAAACTTCAAAATTCTGATTTTACTTGTCTTCTTTTTGGGCTTTAGGGCAACAGAAGGTGAACATTTTGAAAGGGGGTAGTGACTTTCTGTATCCACTGTACATAGTCAGCATCAGGAAGGTAGATATACTCCATGGAAAGTATGTTTTGAAGGTAACCAAAAAAATATACAAACTCTTCAAACTTCAAACAAATCAAGACCGTAAGTTAGAAAGTCCTTTAGACATTTTCAGAAACTTCAAAGCTACATCAGACAGATGATGAAAGCTCAAAGTAGGTATTCAGATTATTGCTATTGTCCCAAAACTCTAAAGTTATCAGTATACAAGAGTCTTTCATTAAATGCCACTGGGTAGAAATAAGTGTTGAACACGTTTTTTCTTTAAAACTTAAGAAAGTTTAAGTTTAAGAAAGTTCCACGAAAGTCAGAGATTTTAATGATTTGGACTAAGATGCAATAACTAAAATCAAATCAAAGTGTAACATACTGTAATCTCATTGCTCTGAAAAAAAGTACAACAAATATTTAATCAAGAGGAAAATCAGCATCTACACCAAAGATATATGAAAAGAAAAAATAACAAATAGAATCTTATGTGAAGTTATAGATTTTGTCAGAAACACCACTATTTTATGTTTTGCCTTTGATAGCAAGTTTGATGAAATAATGTATTGTAAGCACAGTAACAATCTGTGTTTCAAACAACAACTGGGTGTTTGAACTGAACAAGACAAAAGTAGAAATAAAGAGTTGGAACTCTGACACAAATCCACACTATGAAGTAAAAATTCAAATGAGTTTGTCAGTCTTTAAATTAAAGCTGCTTTGAGGTATAAACTGAAGCAAAATGATACTAGCTTAGAATCCCCATTATACAGAAGAGCCTCTTGGTGTATAATGCTCAAACTGCATAATGTGCACTTACTTCATTAAACAACAAAGGCTCAGAACAGAGCTGAGAACGTTTATGAAACCAACTTAATAATAAAGGGTACTCTGCTCCGTGGCATTAAAACAAGACAATATATTAGGGATTAAGCTGTGTTACTGCCAGTGGATAAGGTCAGCACACAATTTTTCTGAAACACAGTTGTTTTGAAATAAGGCCTACAGTTTACATGCCTTCTTTATAAAACACTACTTAATGTGAATGTTTGCATATGCAGGTTGCCATGAGATAGATATAACCCACTTAGATATTTTTCTAGTTAAATATGGGATACGTCATATACAGATGCAGCCATTCAAAGTGCGCGGTACAGACAC